CTCCTCCTTGGGAAGAAATCAGAATGGCATTTCTCTCCACTGAATGGCATTTACATCTTTGTTCTTTGCAGCGCTAACGATTGTCAGGCTCCTTTTGGCCCCGGGGTCCAGATTTTCCCCCTTGTTTTCAGAAGGATGTGCCGGAAACTGCCTGCTGAGTGCTTGGTTGTGCCAAGATCCCATTGGCCCAAGAATTGTGGCAGCTGCAGATGCTGTGACCATGCAAGTTCCTTGCTCAAACACCTCAGTTCTGTTTCAATAGCAGTGTTCAGGCATTGCCTGCTATCTAACGAGTTAATAATATCTACTATTCCTACTATTAAATTAGTTAATATTTTATTAACTCATTTAGCTGCAGCCTTTTAATTCAGGGAAAGCATGCAATTTCTTAAAAGCGAGACTAAGAACAGTTTTCAAGAACTTGTAGGGATGCTCTAAAGATCTTCCAAGGAAACTCTAAATCCCAGCCACTTCACTGCTGTCAAGTGCTGCTACTGAAGTCTATTTGGCAATTTTAATTAAATACTCATAAACTTCAAGGGCTGTCACTCCCTAGAGAAGAATTTTTTGTTTCTGCTCTGCACCAGGGAACCTGTGAAAGAGGCACCAGGACTTCATTGCCAAATGTCCAGTTACTTAGAGCATCACCTGCCCAATTCACCTGATTTCTATAAAGCTGGGCTTTTTGAAACAAAGATGTGTAATGTGCCCTGAGCATCCCTGAATAGAAAAATGCCTCTGGCGTTCCTGCTCTCAAGGGAAAAGGTAGACACAGCTCAGCAGAGATTACAAACCAAAAGGAGCCCTGACAGCCAGCCCATGGTGCACAGTACTTGGTTACAAGGAGAGAGAAAACTGATGAGTCCATACAGCCTATAAACTCCAGTTTTAGCTAAAAGTATTCAACCTTTGCATGTGTACAGAATGAGCTGAAAATGCAAAATAATGTGGAAAGAATGGCCAGAAGTTTGTTACTCTTATTATCTCTAAAATGTATGCAACTATGAAACTACCCAGAACTGATCTTTGGAGCTCCCAAATGTTGTAAGTACAGGTCTCTCTAACCTTAAGGGGAAAGTGTGCAATTAAAAATTCATTTTTGTTCAAGGGGCAGCATGAAGTAGCTTAAGGGGTTTATTTTGTGCTTGGACACTTCCAGCTTAGAGAAATGGAAAGCAAATATGGTCTCCCACCTCAGGGATTGTACCTTAGCAATATGGAAGGTACCCTTGCCTGGTCAACCAGACACCAATAAAGAAAGATTAACATCAGCTCTTCTGGGCACTTCCCACAGTGACACAGAAAAATATCAGGACTTTACCCACGTGATGATGCACAGACCAAATGCATGCACTCAGCAGAGCCCAGTGCAAGTCTTCCCTGGAGAATGTGAGGCTACAGAAGTGATGCCCGTGAAGCTCTCTGAAACCAACACCCAACATTTCTCAGAGATTTCATTGATCTTCTTCACACTGCAAAACTAAAACCTCCAGAAACCAGCTGAACCTGTGAGAAAGGTTCACACCATCCCCACCAGTCTTTGTGGGGTCTTTGCCACTGTGGCCACACCACAGACACCTACCAGCACTGGAGAGCAGGACTGAGGGGCCTTTAATGGTAGTGGCATTTGCTACAAGCTCTCCCCAGACAATATAAACCAGGGCAACAAAAGTTGTGGGGTTGTCAGAATTGCTGCCAGAGACTTTGCCAGCACAGTGATGCCAGCCAAGAGCATGACCTTCTAGCTGACATGGTCACACCAACAAAGCATCACAAAATAAACTGTGTCAAAAAAAGTAAAAACTGGAGTTTTCTCCTCAGAGAAAGGAAAATGGAGAGAGTGATGAATACTGATGGGTTAGCAATGTCAGAATCATATCATTTTCCAACTGGAAATACAGATCATGCATTTCCCTAGAAAACAAAAGTCAAAACAACAACAATAAAACCCCACATATATGGCTATCATAGCAACACCCTTATCTCCCTTTGCTTTCCTCCCACTGCAATGTGGCTTATGAGATGGAATTTCTTGATTTCCAAGAGTAAGAAAAGCTCTTTCCATTAACCTGTTCAGATAAGTCACTGGAAAAACAGAAGTGTGAATCCCAGCACACCTGTGCTGCAGGTAACACGTACAGTGCAGAGCAGCTGCCAGGCATGGGCTGGGGAGCTTTTGCCTGTCCCACTGAGGCTTTCTTCTAAAGTGCTTCTACAGAAAGGAGATGTTGGGAAGCAGGAGAAAAAGTGCAAGCTAGAGATCCCTGCAACATTTGGATTCCAGAAGGGGCTACAAAGGCACCATCTCTCAGCACACCTTCACTCCAGAGATGCTGGAGAAGATAAAGCAACAAATCTCACTCAGGATGCAGCAGCCAGCAAAAGGGTACTGTGTCACTGGCCACTGGAATATAAATCCATCCATAAAGCTTGCAAATATCCTTTGCAGCACCAGCCTTCTCAGGTTTCTCTGGATGAAGCACTATTTCAGCTCTATGTTTAGCAGTTGGAAGGAAGCCAGGAAGACTTCCATAACCACCCCTGATTTGTTAATCCCTTAATGCACAGGCACTGTTTGTTACTTAGGACGTCAGGTTTCATCACCCCTCAGCACACTGGTGATAGAACTTCTTGACACCAGGCTGCAAATATTATTGCAAAGTCAATACTCCCAGGGAGAAAGCCAAGCCGAGCTGAAATGTGACTTTGGTGTTGACAAGCCAGTTTGGCACTGCAGAGTTCAAACAGCCAGGATCACCTGGCAACTTTGAAAACAGGAGAAAGTTTGCCAGGATCCTTTCTGAGTAGAATCTTATCCCAAAATCCACATGGTAACAGCCAAACACTTCCCAGTCAGACAAAGCAAGTAAAAACACAGTAAGTGGATTATGCTTTCTGGGAAAATGCTGGGAACTGTATGTACATATGCATGTGAGCCTGTGTCTATACAGATTTTCCTAATCTTTCTCATTAAAAGAGAAAAAAATCCAGATGTGGGTGTGTAGCATGACAGGCTGGAGGTGATGCAGCTCAGTATTCCCAGGGAGTTCAGCCAGCCCATGGTAGTTCTTCAACAGCCCTGATGGCCTAAGGACAACTAAGTCCCTGCTTATAATAAAAAAAGATATTTCCTGAATGTGATCTAAATGAAGTTGGGTCCTGGTGTTTTTGGAGAGCCATTCAGACATCACACAGGGGCTGCACAGCACATCAGAGCCAGGCCAAGCTGGCATCAGTGCCTGCTGCCACTGGGGATGTGACTGGCCTTGATGTGACTGGCCTTCTCCAGAACACAGAGCTATTTTAAGGTAATTTCCCTCCCTCCTGGACTCAAATATTTGTAATAACACAGCCGAAAAGGTGATGACACCTGAGGACAGTGGAAGAAAAGGCACAGCCCTCACACCCAAGGCAGCATGAAGGTGAAGGGCTGATGAGCCTGAAGCAGCCCTGCACAACCCAAAATTAACTGGGTTTCATCTTCCCAAAGCAATAAGCCCGTGCAGCTATGCAGACCCTGTTCATGTTCACCATTGATTACCAACTTCTTCCTGACCTCCCAAGGCAGATGTGACAGAGTAAAGTGCTTGGCTGTGGCAGGACAAAGCCAGGCCAAGGGCACACTGAGCCCATCCCTGAACCCATGCACATCCATCTGCCTGTCAATAGCTCCAATTAAAGCCACCAGACACCAGCTCAGTCACAGTTTGGGAGAAAGACAGGGGGACTTAAAATCAAATTAGCAATCAATTAATACATGAAGCAACTACAAAGCTGGTGAGTAGAGCACCCTTTGGGGTTTAACCCTTTGGTGCCCTCTGAGTTTTTTTCATGGCTAGTAATGCCAATGAGTATGCTGGGAGAAAGGAGTAATCTTTAAAAAAGCTCAGAGTCAGGTAAAAATATGTATTAAAAAAAAAAACATTTGACAAAATTATGTTATTAAAATTTCAGTACACATAGAGCTCTCTATTATTTTTGTGTGTTTATTTTAAATGAGAATGTTTTAAAAATGTGACCCTGGAACAATCTATTCTCTGATTTGGTGAAATGCAAAAAACAGCACAACTGGAAAAAAGGCATTTAAAAAAAATATTACCAGGGCTTTTCTACTTCCAGCCCTTATAATTGGGAAGAATCTGGAACAAAATTACTGTGAAACATAGTGCCTGAAATAAGAAGCAAAGTATAGGAAAAAAATCTTTAAACATCACAGGAAGGTGGAACATAAAAGCAGTGAAAGGATGCAAAGAACAGGTAAAAAAAGGGTAACTTTTCCAATGGTTTAAATAGACAGTGCCTTATTAAATGCAGCAGAGCTGCCCCTGTTTACACCAACTGGTGTGTTTCACAGGGGATCCAGAGGACATCCCAGGCAGAATGGCTGTTTTCTTCTCACTGCTTGACATTGCTATATAAAGACAGGTAAGCAGCATGAGTGATCAAAAGCACAGTGGCACGTGGAGTAGACTTTGAAAGGGAGATGCAAGCAAAAAGTGCCCCTTTAGAGAGTCTGTTCAGATTTAAGTAAGATCTCAAATAAAAGCTGGGAGCCTGCACCACACACAACTATTCCCAAGGCTGTCCTTTGACAACAGTCTCCTCTTTCAACAAGATAAAAGTCAATGTAAATGGGCAAGGAAGGCAAAATCCTACAGCAAGGACAGGCAGAGCTGGACTCTGGTGGCATCCCCAGGAGCAGAGGTGGGTCAAGGAGCTCTGCAGGGAGGCATTAATGCATCTCTGAAACACACACAGACACTCACAGCAGAGGATTCACTTTTTTCCCCTATATTTTTTTTAATTTTAACAAAAGAGACCAAATTCTATCTATTTTTTAAATTTAACAAAAGGACAACACAATTCTATCTACAAATTGTGTTCTTCCTGCACAGGATGTTTACCAAAAGCCAGTGTGCATTAACATGGGCAGTCAGGCACAACCATACGGAAACAGGAGAACTGGGCCACATTAGTATCTATAAGGCAATAAAACCTACCTGGGAAAGGAGCTTGTTGTCATCCTCCAGCAGCTTCACCTTTGTTTCAAGTTGCCTGATATAGTTGGAAGATGAATCTTTAGGAAAAGAGAGAAAAAAAAAACACATTTAAGTTTCTTGTCATACAGGAAAGTTTTGTGTCAGAAGCAACATGTTTTCCCACTCTGTAGAAGGCAAGTTTGGGAATGACTTGATGAATGAAACCCTGTGTGTGTAGGGTGATGAGGGACTCCATCAAAGCTTTTTTTCATTCAAAAGTTGAGATTCAGCAACAGCAATATCTTCTGTGGATCTGCATCAATGCCAGTTTAAGAGGTGGGTGATACAGAAGGAAAGTGAAGTTGAAACCCTGTGTTTTGTATTTTCATAGAAGTAACTTCTTAGTTTTGAAAGCTATTCCCATTCATCTAGACTGCACCAAAATACTCCACAGCAGAACAAGATGTTTCCTTTTAGGTTTGAATAAACAACCCCTCCAGACACGTGCCTTTTTCTTTCAGAAAACAACTGAGAAACTCACAAAACCAAGCTGTTGGCACAGCTCTAAGAGGAGGTCACTGCCACAGCTCCCAGTGCTGTAAAAGGGAGAGAAGTGTATTCAGCCGGGCCACAGAGCTGCAGCATGCACACAGCCTGACACACACAAGTGCCTGCCCAGGACATCTGTTTTTTCCAGTAGAAGCACGTGACACTAACCAGAAAAACACCAGGACAATAAAACAGGGAATACCCTCACATAAAATGGTAATATTCAACCTGAAGGAATGCAATGGCCAGTTTAGCATTGTAGCACAACCAGACAGGGTGGCCTGGCACAGAGGATAAGTCACTGGAGAGCTCTGTGGGTGGCTGACTGCTCTCCAAAGCATCTGGCTTTTGTTTTGAACCATGCCTAGAAGAAACACATCTGAAAATTTCACAGGGAAGAAAATAAAGGACACTGGGACAAGCTTTTCTCCAGTCTCATTACAGCTTGATGAGTTCCCCCACTACAATTGGATCTTTGCAAAATTTCTCCTCCACTTGTAATTTGAGTAGCAGAGGCCATTAGCTGCCACAGCAGGAGGAAAAGATTTGAAACATAAATATATTAAAAACTCCAAACATTTTCCACACTGCTAAAGGGGCTCTGAAAAGTGCAAAATTACAACGTCCCTCATCTCATTTATTATGGTGTGAGTGCAGAAGCCACTGTTCCACCCCAGGTCTTCCTGCTGAGCATGAATGGACAAGGAACCAGGTGTTGAGTGGGGTGTGCTGCTGTGGCCCCAGCATCTTTTGGGATCAGCTCCCCATGGAAAGCAGGCACTTCTGGCTGCAGCTCTGGCACAGGAACACTCAGCAGGCACAGGGGTGAGGTTTGTGATGCTGTGGCCCCAGCACCTTTTGGGATCAGTCTCCCATGCAGAGCAGGCACCTCTGGCACAGGAACACTCAGCAGGCACAGGGGTGAGGTTTGGGCTGGCTCTGTGCTGAACAGCTCCTCTGTGGCTGCCAAAGGCTCTCAGCTCTAAGGCTGAATGCTCCTCTGGCCCCTCAGCAGAAGGGCCAGCAGGGGAGCCACAGCTAATCACTGGCACTGCCTTGGCCACTCAAGGGAAAAATGGAATATGCTCAAAGAAGTGCCAACAGACCAGTGCCAAAGCACACAAAGGAACAGCAGGATGGATCTGAGTCAAGTGCCCATCTAAAGCACACTCTCAGAGGAAAAATGCTCAGTTTTCTGACTGGATTATGCTTTGTTCAAACCCAGGAAATCCAAACAAGTCCTCATGAGAAAGGTTAAGAAGACACTGTAGGGAGCTATGTAAGTTCAGTGAACAGCTTAAGTGGTGGCAATGTTCACAGCAACACCAGTTTGAGCTGCAGGGAGCACAAACTCAGCCCAACAACCACCCCAACATGGGGGAGTCTCCAGGTCAGAGGAGAGAGCAAACCAAGCAGTTACAGAATCAATCTAAAGCGCTTTCCTGTGAAGGCCTCTGCACCACAGCATTACCCATGCACATCCAAGGGTGCTGAGCAGAACGCTGCTGCAGATTGGTGCTGAATGCAGCAAGATTTCAGGGTCAGCTTGAAGAACCTGCTGAATTAGTAATGAACCTGTCCTCCAGCAGGGTGCAAGGGGAGTTTGAGACTGTCAAAGCCAGGAGGACCATGGATTCTTTGGTCTGACCTCCTCTGTGCCCCAGGCCATCACACTTTGTTAACTTACCCCTAATATCAGTACAACAATACCCATTTGGCTAAACAGCTCCAAAACCAGTCTCCAGCTCTGTCTGAAGAAACCAGAGACTACTGGCTGTGTGCTGAATACAACAGCTTTCACTGGCAGATGTGGTCAGATAAGGTGTCCCTCCCACCTGCATTCCAGCTCCACCAGTACCCTCACTGTGCCAGCAGCACACGGAATTTAGGTTAGTTGGATGAAGGGTGATGCAGAAGCTGTCATGTTCAGGTCCTGAATGCTACCAGGACTGACTGGCTGGCTGATGAAAAGAATAGGGCATGACTGCCATAGAAAAGGAAATAGAGAATTATTTCCTCTCTGTGGTTTCATACCCCTTACCAAAAAAAGGATATTCCTTGGGAAGGCAAACCCTGCATACTCAAGAGCCAATGCACACCACTGGCTCTGAAAGCCTGACCTGAGAACTGCTAGAATTCTTCAGACACCACTGTTCAAACCCAAACCATGTTTGATGTCTGACCTCAGTCAAAAAACACCGTATGAAAACATAAAATATACACAGGAAAAAATAGGGAAAAAACCAAATGAGTGCTCAGAGCCATCCCAGTCTTTGCTATGCCCTCAGAGAGGAATCAGCTCCATCTTCTGGACCTGCCTGTGTTGAGGCTGGTGCCAGATGAACCATTTGCATCTTGATCTCAGTTCTAAAAAAGCCCATAACTCTCACAACAGCAGGCAGTAACACTGCCAGGCTAAGTAGTGAAACTCCAGGCTAGGTCTCACCCATGTTATATCAAGAAACACATTCCCAACATTTTTCTGCCTCTGACCTTTCTCTCATCAGTGAGTTTCCGTCCTCTCCTGCCTCCCCCAGAGCCAGGAGACAAGGACAGCCTCACTGACCATTCAGGACAGGCGGCAGAGCTGGATCACTGACTGATCAGACCCTCACATCCCTTTTCATCAGAAATCATACAAATGGTCCTCACTGCTGTGCCAAAGCTGTGAGCAGGGCTCCACCTTCACCAGCCCCAAAGCACTCTCCTCAGTGGCTGGAGCAGTGTACCCCTGCACACCCACCCAGCCACACCTCATGGCACTGACTTTGAGTCCACTCACACCTGCTGGAGCCCTGCTGGTGGCCAGACCAGCATGGTGGCCAAGGACACGTGGTCAAGGATAACCTTTCTGGCACTTTCAGTGCTGCCTGGGATGCCATTGGGGCCAACATCCTCCCCTAGTTAACCCTTGGGGCCACGAGAAGCAGCTGCACGAGCAGTGGGTGCCTCAGTGGGCCAGATGGCACCAGAGGGAAGGAAATTTCCCATCACAACATTTCACATCCCACTCAGCAGCCTCCCTCCCTGTGGCAGCCATCACACAGCAGAGGAAGCTGGGGAGAGGCAGAACGTGCCCTGCCAGGCTGCTGCCCACGACAGGGAAAACCGCAATCCCCATCAGCCATCCTCACTTGCACCATGTAAATTCTGCAAGCTAAATTGTTCACAGAGCTGGGAAACCTGAAGTCCTGCTCCTTTACAAAGCCTTGGGAAAAATAATTGGATGTAGAGCTCCCCACATTATGTCCATGAGCTGCACTCCAGCTCAGGAAGGAGCATTACTGTTATTATCCATCCTCCTCAAGATTTACTGCTCTAAAAAAAAAAATACTCCATCTGGAATGGGATGCAATTCAGCTTGGGTGTAATCTAGCTGAGTAACTTTTCTCCACACAGATAAACCACTTAGTACTCATTACAGCTAAATGGAGGCAAGACAAATCAGTCTACCTTGTTTTAACTCAATGGTCTCTTGGAGAGCAGGGAACTGCCTGGCTCTTCAAGCTTTGTGAAAACATAAATTAGAAATTGTTTTTACAAACAGAACAATCTTGCATCCTGCAGAGCACAGAATAGCGTAATTTTAAAAGACACTTGTAGCCTTTCTGATTCTCATCTGAGATTTCAGAGGAATCTGGCAGAGGGGTAAATATGATAAATTACACATTTATTTTGACAGCAGCAAAATAAATGGTTTCATTTCCTTGCATGCCACTTCTCCAACCACAGGAATGCAGAGCAGAGGTTTGTGTGGTAGCTGCAAGGTTGGGATTGAGACACTTTTATTTAAGACTTTCTCATAATGAGGTGCTAGCACCTAAATGAATATAAGGAAAAAACTGCCCTTCACTTAGGGCAGCTCACACCAGAGACGTCAGAAAAGGTTAATGTAGGTGTCTGTGAGATAAGAAAATTGTTAAGAGCCCTTTGATAGGACTCATTCCCAGCAGGACAGTCCTTACACCCAGCTTGGGCAATACCAAACAAAATGGCAAGAGCAGACCTGAACTAACAGAGCTTTAGTTCCTTTCCACAGCACCCCACTTTTGTCTCAGGGCCTCTCACTGGTCAGAGTGACCCCAAGATAAGTTCCAAAGTTTCTTTTCCCAGCCCGTTGCTCGAAGAAAGAGTCAGAGCTCTTCATTTCTCAGTCTCAGGGTTGTTTATTGTCTCTTATCTATAAAATTCTTTCTCCTGTCCTGCTGAAGTCCACTCAGCAAGACAGTCCAGGCACTCTGCCTGCCTCCAGGCGGTGTTATGTCTTTATACTAAAAATTACATATACAATGTTTACAATCACTTCCCAATACCTATCACCTACGTTAGACAGTGAGCTTCTACTCTAAACCAATCTAAAAGTGCCAACATCACAGCAGAAGATGGAGGCCAAGAAGAAGAAGGAGAAAGGCTGGACATGGCCAGATCCCTCCATCTTGCCCCCTGAATCCCCATTCTAAAAACCCCAAAATCTATTTTTCACCCCGTGGTAAATTCACTATCATTCTATTTAACTGTCATGGCCTGCAGATCTTCATCTAAGGTCGGT